AAGTAATTAGAATACACCGATAAAATATATCTTAATATTTTTAAATTACACAAAAATAGTCATAATAAATTACAAAATCTATAATACCTAGACCCTCCCTTCACCACCGTTAACTGCAACTTTTGTAAGCCATTCCGACAGCTCGGACCAGAAGAGCACTCGGATCTCCACCCACGGCATCGTAGAGAACGACTTGGCGAATTTAACCCTCTCACATCCTCGTAGTTACCATACTGCCACTCAACTGAGTTACTACTGTCAAAACAATCACAAAATTCCAAATCTGTCCTCTCAATTCCCTGCCTAATCCCCATCGAACCCGAATTCACCGAACTTGTCCCCTCTGTTTCCTTCTCTGTACTTATCAACTCAGGGTGTTCCGTACTTACTCCTTCCCCACAATTCACGCCCGATTCACAAGCGTAACTCCTTGCCGTCACCCATCCATCCGATTCCCAAATTACCCCTCCTTCCGTCGTTAATTTATCGTTCCTCTCCCTCGCCGATGCTTCTAAATTCTCCGCATCTTCGTCCGCTTCGAAATGCGAGCTAGCGAAATCGAGCACGCAACGTGGATATGATTCCCCGATCATATTCAACGCTGAAGCCGATGCTTAAAGTGGGTGCTGCAGCATCTGATCTCAGCTCCACCTTTGATTCCCATCCCTTCTCAAAAACTTCTCCACGAAATCCTTACCAAGTTCAGAAAACTGAGTCGGTAAGTCAGGCAATTCATCCAAGTTAGCGATTCGATTCAGTGAGTTGAAACCTTGATCATCCCAAGCTGGCTGCCCGGTGATCATCTCGATGACGGTGCAGCCTAAGGACCAAACATCACTCTCCGGTCCTTGATACTCACCGCGAATCACCTGCGGAGCCATCCAAAGAGGGTTTCCACGTGAAGTGATGAGGGACTTACACCTATCATCCGCGTTACCCCTTTTAATCTCAATCGCTGAGCCGTAATCCGCGAGCTTTACGGAGGTTAAATCAGGGCCCACCAAAACATTTTTCCCTTTCACATTACAGTGCACAATGCCTTCAACGTGCACGTACTTCAAAGCCGAAAATAACCACCGCGTTTGCCACCGCAAATCCTCTCGTCCATGTCAGCCAACCGGCGTTTAATAATCGCCACATCAGCAACGGTGCCACCTGGCAAGTACTCCATGTGAAGATTCCGGTAAGACGTCGTCGGGGACTCATACCTGGTAACATCATCGCCGAGATACTCAACGACATACGGAGAGGAAAGCGAACGCAAGATCCTAATTTCGTTCTCCACAGACTCCTACTGGTTCGGAAGACACGTTGCTAAATCGACGGACTTAACTGCGAAAACGGCGCCTTCTGATTCGTTGATTGCCAAGCTTACAGTACCAAACGAGCCATTGCCTAAACATTTCCCTCTAGTCCAAGAAATTTTCTGGGTGTTGCTCTGTTTCTCCATCTCTGAAACTCAAAATCTCTTTCTTTTTTCTCTGTATCTTTTTGGCGCCTGTTTTCTGAGGGTCAAAATGGGTATTTAAAAAACGTGTAAGCTAAATATTGTAATTATTATATCAAGTCTTACGTGAAATTTCTAAATGGATAATTCGGAAAACAGTTTGATTATGTCATAGAGCTAGGAACTGGGCTTGTGTTTTGACGTACAAGGGATAGCGAGAAGAGTGCAGAATGATTATGGGTTTTGTCCTTATGTAAGGGCCATGTGGCTTGGGGAACATCGGTTTTTTTTAGTATGCGGTTGTCATGGTAATAGCTTACACGGTTCGTGGAAAGCAAAATTTTTGGTGAGCAATAGAATATTTCCAAAACCACACGCCTCAATCCCAAGTATTTCTGTCCCTCTGATTTGTTTACTTGATTAAATTGATATAAACCACTCTTAAAACCTTTTATTTTGTCTAAAAGGCAAATTTTGTAGTACTAACAGTGATGATCTCCACCTGATAAACGAGTGGTTAAATTAAAAATTTGAAGATGATGGATGAAGTTGCACGTGATTTTGAAGTAGGGGATCAGAAGGGAAAAGCAATGGAATAAATTATTTAGAGGTGCTAAGTTGGTGGCCAAAAGCAAGTCCACTAGGTAGGGTCACGGTGGCAGAGTTTCGGTTTGAAACAAAACAAATGTACGTAGCGCCCAACGATCAGCTTACATGGCAGAAAATGGTACGTATTCGTCGCAACAACAGGGAGCTTGATCCTGTGTCTGGCTTTTGCAGTGAGCGTTTGAGTACAAGTCTTTGACGTGCACCACCAGCCTCCATTAAACAGATTTATGTTAAAATAAAAATATATTAAAAAAACAAAAGGACAACTTTACCTGTCAAAGGCAGTACCATTCGAATCTTTTGAAAGATCAGTATCTTTGGAAACCCTACCATGTACTAAAGAGTACCAAAAACTTCCCTAAAACCAACTTGGGGCATTCTTAAAGATGTCCTGACATTGGATAAGCTGCAACAATTTCCTTGCTCAAAGGAAAAGGGGAGGGGAAAGGGGAAAGAGAGAAATTTTTGTCCACGTAAACTTGAATCGGCTAAAACCAAGGGAACGGAAGAAAGGGGGCCCCCGATTATCCGTCAAATGCTTTAAAAAGGAAACAGAAAGAACATTTTTCAATTGTGTTTGATTGATCACTTAATCAAATGCATTTGTATTGTGTTAATAGGAATTGAAGCAAGTGATTAAAATTTAAATTTGAATATAAATTAGGTAAGTTTAAATATTTATAAATTTTTTTGATAAATAATTAATAAATTTAAAAAATTTAAAAAAATTTATAAATCTTACTTATAAATTGATGAGTTATTCTAATTTTGAAGATGAAATAACTTTTTATTTTTAAATTAAAAAAAAAATCTTTTGTATTGGGGTTCAGATTTGGCGGTGTGAGCTTATGCGTGGTTGGAATGGAAAGCTCCTTTGGTAAATATTAATTAATGAGTATGTGGCTCTCATCGGGCGATTAAAAATATTTTGTTCACTGAATCCATATCTGTATATCCTGGAGTTTATCGAGTATTATGCGCACGTGATACTTATCCAAACCCTAAAAACTCCAAATTTATGTTTACCAAATCCAACACTTTCCACTTTTACCAATTGTAAGAGGTGAATTAGAATATTTCTACCGTTCCTTTCATTAGTATTGGTAATCTTTTCGCTATTTCTTTTTTTTTATATATATAAAAAACTTATAGTTGCATCATCAATTCAACACATTAAAATTAGAAGTACATTTTTTAATTCAATTGTTGGATTATACGGCAAGGTCATCCTTTTTAACCCTCCAATCACGATGAATACATATTTGATTTGATCTCTTGTCTTTTACTATTATTTTTATTTTTGGTGTAATAGATCATCTCTTATTCTTTAATACAATCGTGTAAAAATTTTGATGACTAAACTAATTAGCATCCTCGTCATTCAAATTTATGCTATTTTTTCTTATGATGTTATAAGTAGAATTTAGATAAATAAGTTACAATCTAATTAAATATTATGTTTATATAAAAATAATTTAATTAAATCAAACAAATTAATCAACTAATAAATCAATACATAACCGCACAAAATACCGTGAGAATCAGTACTCTAACGGGACGTTACTATAGCTAGAACCTAATTTCAAATTCAATCGATAAAACCTGGGGTGTGGCATTACTTCTGAAACAAATAGCCGACTAAGTTTGTTAGGCAGGCAGAAAAACAGCGGAGGTTGCCAATATTTGTCGTAAGACAGCACTACAAAGAGGCAAAACATTAACCGGCTGGTTGACAGTATAACGTGCATGAAGAACAAACCCATTTTGTGCGGCTGACAAGCAAACCTCATTCCTCCCAATTTGATGCCTCTTTTTCTTGAGATTCATGCACAAACCAAAAAACAAATGAAATCGCCAGTTGTTGCAGATCACATAAATAGATACTTCCTTCAGTTTCTATTGCTTTCAGCCTAACTGCAACTAACTTTCTATATGCTGTGCCATGCAATTCCGGATCATGTGAGGTTTTTTCTAGTTTGTCAATGTATCAAAGTCAAAACAATTCGAATGGATTTTGTTGTCCTTTAATCTTCATAATTGCTCCATCGTGAGCAGAGTTAAAGAATCATTCTTATCTCCTCAAAAACAGTTTAATGACAATAAGAAAAATGTAGTAGAGCTTGTCATAGACATTGCATGTGTTTTGGTTAGACATACATTAATAAGTTCCAATACTTAAAACACACAACATGAATACATAATGCAAGCCAACAAACCCAAGTTGCTCTTTCCACGAAAGAATATTGCAGTATTGCCTGGAACATGTGATGTAGCATTAAAAAAAAAAAGTATTTGGACATTTGGTCGTTCTCATTTGCTATTTGTGGGTCAAATTTAGTGAAAGGGTGAAGGCGTCCTAATTATACAGCTGATCACTAAACATGAAGCTATGAATATTCTTTCTCTATTAATGCCACTGACTTAAGTGCGAGAAATAATTTGCATTCTTTCTGGCATCAGGATACTTTTCTTTATTCGTTCTTGTGATAAAGATTTGGTCAATATATGTACTGGCCTTTATGGCATCTTAAGTTTTCTGGCGCTTCATGATTGCGGTAATATGAATCCAACGCATAAGACATACTAGAAGGGCTGCACAATAAGATGGTCGACACCATCAAAGTGGTCAACTCTCATTATCTTGAACTCATCAACAAATGAATAATTTCAATTCACAAGTTGTATCTGGGTCAACAATCGTGAATTTCAAGTTCACGCTTATGTATCTTTGATTTGATTCAAAATGGTTATTGATTAATCATTGTTAAAGCAAACCAAGTCTAGAATTTTCTAGTCAAGGTGTTAACGTTGGTATGAATCACTGATGACTCCAAGTTGTCAATATAGGACAATGTTAGGCTTAAAATGTTCTCAAAATGTATATCAGAACGAGAAAGAGTATAAATTATTCTTATAACCTAACCAAGAATTCAGGATTGACAGTTCCTGAAACTCTTTGAAATGAGAGTAATGATTATCCATTAATCCCAATATGCATATATTCCCCTAGCCTACATGAACACAATGTTAAGACTTAAAATGGTATGCCAATATCAGAAAGAGCAAAGAGTATGCGACTGTTATCATAGAAATGATGTTTATGATTTGAAAATTCACAAATGCCTGAAACTCTTCAAAATGCTCAAATTCCTCATTGTCAGGATGACATTGAAAGGGCAAACATGCAAGAGTACACAAGAACCACCGGTTCACTCTCTCAATTCTCCAGGAATAAGGCAGTATATAGTTTCATAAGTTCTCGTTCATGCAGAATCATGCTTCGCAACAACTAATTAACTAGAATCATAAACACCAAGAAGGACAAGACTATTTCATAAGGCAGCCTTTGAATCTTTCATCAGAATGATCCATTAAATCTGTATGATAATCTACAAGACAGTTGAGAACAATGTGTACAAAATTGAATCGGCACCATTGAAAAGAATTATTGGAAAACTGCTTCTATAAAGAATATCCTGATTTACAACTCCAAGGTCAAAGAATGTCAAAAATATACAACCAAGATTACAACTGGGTCTCTGTGATCTCTTCTTCAGCCGTTGGCATAAAAATCCCTCAAAGAATGGTCAATAAAGACTAAATGCTGCTGCCCTACCGACATAAACCAGCTTCCACCTCTACTGCATCTGCTAAGGCATCTAAGTCTCAAAACACCTCTACCAACTAGCTCTGAATGAGATACTGTCTTCTCCTCCCAACATAACAACGATCACGAAACTACCAGGCAGAGTCAATCCTAAGAGTTAATTGGTTGCCTACATTTCAGAAATTAGACAATCAAATATAGTGCCCCAGCTGAATCAGCATCACGCTAATATCATCAGATGAGCCTCGAGAAACAGAAAGGTCGACAAGCCTTTTACAGGCAAACAAAGGATTTGTCTTATTGATGCCTAGACATGAAGAACGAGCAATGTCAACTGCTTCCTGATTACTAACCTGAAAAGAAGGAAGAAAGAATTTATTTAGATTAATACGAAAGATTATCTACTGTAAAGATTGTAAAGATATGAAGTACTTTACAAAAGAAAAAACTTCAACAACCTACCTTATCCCATAAGCCGTCAGAGGCTAATATTAAGAACTCGCATTCAGGTTTGATACTAATGATCTTTGTCTCTGGCTCAGCTATTACCCACTGTTTAAGGTGGTGATCTCCAATCCCTCTGGAGACAGCCAGACAACCCTGAATCCTCCAAACACCACGGCATAAGTCCACATAGCCACCCTGCGAAAACAATTTTCACACAATGCATCAGTCACAGTTCAGATCAAGTTCGTTTCGAAATGCACATAATGAAAGAAAACTGTGAACAAAGCAAAGGTCATTCATTTATTGAGAAACTGCTTACCAAAGTCTCAATTCTGTTCCTTTCATCCTCCCTTGAAGGTCGGTGATCAGAGGTGAGAGCTTCAGCGACACCACCTCTGCTCACAACAGCACGACAGTCACCAGCATTCGATACAACAAGGTTTCCATTTTGGATCAAAGCTGTCACACAACATGTGCCACCAGTGACGTCTTCCTTAAGAAACTCAGCATCTGTCTTCAAATAACCTTCTTTAACAGCTTCCTTTACATTAGTTTTGTCTCTTCTTCTAACAACTTCATCTAAAATGTTCTTCTCCAATTTCTGCGCTGCAAACTCCGCAGCTTTGGCACCTCCATGTCCATCAAAAACACCAAAAAATGCCTGCAATTATCATATAACACCATATAAGTCCCACCAACTTAAAATTCATTGAAAATCAAATTTATATTTTGATGCCAAACCCTTGACTTAATTTAAAATCAATTACACTATCGATCTTTTCTTCTTTGTCATTATTTCAAACAAAATAATTAAATAAAAAAAGCCAGAAACCGTAAAAATACCTGTTTGGAATCTCCTTGGAGTTTAACAGAAGCTGAAAACCTATCTTCCATTGCCTCTCTCCTCCCTCTTTTACAGTAAACAGAATATCCATCTCCCTCTCTCTCCACCTCTCTCCTCACATCACACGGCGTCGCCGGGACCCCAAAATACATCGCCATCGTCCCCACCGGTATATCCAGCCTCGCCGGCCTCTTCCTCTTCAAAATCGTCGAGACTGATCCCGGTCCCAGACCTGCTGTTGAACCCGGACCCGAAGACGATGACGTTGAAGCAGATGAAGAAGACGATAACAAAGACCCAGGCGGCGGTTTTTGAAGCCGAAGCCTAAAAGGCGAAGAAGGTGAAGAAGGAACCGGAGAAGCAGGAGAAGACGAAGGTTTGAGGTGAGTCAACGTCAAATTCAAAGCTTCGGACGACGGAGAGATGATGGAGGCTTTATTACAGAAAAGAGACGACGACGGAGAGAACACCGGTGAGTTAGATACGGCTACTGAACACGACATCGTGTTTTTCTCTTTCAAAGTTTTCCTTGTTCTTTTTTGTTACAAGGTTCAAATTTGGGTTCGTTTTGTTTGATGATTTCTCTTGTTTTTAGCGGTTGTGTCAGACAGACAAGGGAATATATATAGGGGGAGGTGCTTGGAAGCCTCACGGCCTTCCGTGTTAATGGCGGATAGGTGGAGAGAGGTTATGGTTTAGAGATTTTGACCACTGACTTTTGACTGTGGAGCATTCCTTTATTTTGTGGAAAGTCAAGGTTGCCCCTACTATTATTTCGCAGAGAAAATTGGCGATTTTGTTTTAGATTATTTTTCTCCCATTTTTGGACTCTAAAACCAAAGTGGCTAGGAATATTCATAATATAAATAAAAGCAAAGAAATATCCATAAGATCTTTTAACTAAATTTAGAAATATTTTTCATTGATAAAATTAGAATAATCAATTTTTTAAATTAAAAAATAGAAAACAAAATTTTGATTAGTTGATGAATGAACATCAATTATAATATAATTAAATTTAAGAGATTAATTAATTTGATTTATATAATTATTTTTTAAAAAATTATTCAATAAATTTAAATTTTAATATTTGTAATTATTTTTTATTTTTTATCTCATGAATTAAAAAATAATAAAAATAAGAGAGCAGGGGCAACAGAGTAATTGAATAAAACGAAAAGGGTGGTCATGCACCCAAGAAGTAACAAATGGTCATGCACGTAATATGTGTATTACAGTGTTTAGAGAGAGTGTGTGTTGATTCTCGAGTCAACAAACCTCTCTCTCCTCCTCTCTTTATAAAAGATATCTTATCAACGAAGAATCACGTGGTCCTCCACTCCCACACCGATCTCGGATGTTTCGTTGAAGTTACCGTTGCCAAGACGCATTCCCATTAGCGACCGTTGTGGCGCTGAATACTTACGCTGCTGCTGACAACATCAACCGCCCCTCAATTGTATGCTCTTCGTCCCCTTGTTCTTTTTATTATTATTCTTTTGGATTTTTGGCTATCTTGTTTTGTTGACATCTAGAAAAATTAACCCAAACCCTGTCAATAAAATCATGCACAAACAAATGCAAAATCACTTTGTGTTTGGTTTGGTTTGGTTTGGTTTGTATTTTTCATTTCTTTTTCTGGCCTTTGACTAAAGGACCAGTTCAATATTTTTACTAATGCCTTTGGCTTTGGTTAAATTGAACTTTCTACGTCAATAATCTTGATCAATTCTCTGGTAGTAAGTACTAACCTTTTTAGACGACCTTTCTTCTTTTCTTTTTTTTTAATTTTACCAGTATTTAAAATTAATAGTCAATGGAATAATCTTTTATTGTAAATGAATAAACTAGCAAAACGGCCACTAATTTGAGCTCTGTTTCATTTTAGGCGTAGGGCCTAAGTGCTCTTGGCACAATTCTCATCACCCCGTTCGATTCTGGTTTTGACCTTTAGTATGTGGCCCACACGTCCTACCAACAAAGATTGATGAGTTTTGTCACATTTTAGTCTAGACCTAAAGCTTTTGGAATCCAGGTCGAACTTTTCCAATTGTTAAATCCAGTTAATGCTCAGGCCTGTTAGATTTTGGGCCCAATTTAAGTGGAATTCAACGACAAACAATTACTATTTTGATTAGGCTTAACAATTTATATATGCATATCATTTTAAATATTAATAATTTATATATTTATATTATATTTTATAGAAAAATTACTGCATCATGATCTATATTATATTAAAAATATTATAATATTTTTAAATTTTATTAAATTTATTTATGATATTTTCATATCATTTTCATAATTGTGTTTTATATTCCTACTCTAACTTTGATCATTTTTTTCTTCATAATTTTAATTCCTTTTCTAATTGAAAATTTTTGAACAATTTTTGCTACAAAAATCTTTAAATTACCTTTTATAATGGCTTTACAAGATCAATTAATACTAAGCTAAATGAGGAGTTAAAAATAAGAAATTATGAAAAATAACTAAATTAATTAATTAAATACAAAAAAAAATCTCAAAAAAAATGAAGGAAATTTGGAGCGTTTATCATACTAGAACTCAGTCCCTTAGACATTTATAAATATTTGCGATCATATTCGCACTTCATTACAGATTTGTTATAACTCATCACTGTTCTGATGATGACATTTCTCAAAATTAAAATTTTTTTAACAAGTAAAAATAAAAATTAAAGTTTTAAGAGATTTTGAAAATATAGTTGCCCAAGTGTTCTCCCAAAAGCAAAGAGAAAATATTAGAGGGAGAGATAAGAAAAAAGCAACACAATGAATTTTGTTTCAAGGGAACGAATCATATGGGAAAGGATTGAATCCGCACTGACCAAATAGCGAAAGTTCAAACTTTTCAAACATAATATTTGCTTACTTAAAAGGTTTAATCTTTTGATTGAATCTTAAACCCTAGCTTCAAACACCAAAAACAAAGAGAAAAAGTGAGAAAACCGTAAATGGCAAGTCGACGGATGTGTCAATTATATAGAGGAAGCTTTGGGGTTGATATACAAGTCTTTCATCAGATGAACGGCTCATAGTCATAGATAGTTGATATCTTGTGTTACTCTAATTTTGTCTTTAGAGGGCCAATTTTCTAGCTTTCTGATATTAGGTTTTGTTGTTAGTAAGGAGGACAACTTTGGGTCGATCAAATTCTTGGCAAAGCCCAAACTTATTAACAAGTCATGGCCATTGATCCTTGTAATAAATCTAAGATTGCCATTTTTTTTTTTTAATCTATTTTAGTCGTCCAATGTTTAGTTTCTCACGTGTCTTATTGTCTTCCAAGATAAGCGGCCTACCTTCTAACTCTTAAAAATCATAAAGCCTATCCTTTATTAGAGTATTGATGGTCGATAGATATGAATACGAATATCTGACAATGATAAGCGCTGTTAAATTTTTCACTTTCCCATTTCCCAACCTATTCCACCCCTTCTCTTCTTTTAATTAATTAATTTATTTTGTTTTTGTATCCACTTTCCAAGTTTACACTCTGTCTCTTAAAACCATGCGGTTACATCTCTCTCAATGCAAAAGAACAGGGCCAAATCCAAATCCAAGAGCTCTAACCTACTCCGACATATGGTCTGTCGTCTGCATCTAACCATTCTTTATCTGCCATGTTTATCTCCATCCACAAAACATCGACTGAAAAACACCAAATTCAATCACGAGTTATTCGTAGGGCCGCTCATGAAAAGAAAATGGAAATTTTTTTTTTTATTAATGGGTTCTAAGTCAACAAGTACTCGTATCCTAATCCACTTTCTCTTTGCATGTGTTCAGCGTTGTTTACTACACATGATGTGTTTAGCACAGTTGTAAGAAACCAGATGTTCGGATCTAATTTTCTTTCACGTGTTGCCATAGAGCGTAGTTTCACCTTCTTCTTTTTTTATTTTTTTATTTCAGCTCATTGGTAGCTGTCAATGCAAAAGCTATTTTCAATTTATGTTATCCTAATATAATAAGATCAGAGCTTTAAAGCGCGTTTATATCGATATGATGTTAAGAAAAATTCCCAAAAATAAGATAGCTTCTAATTATAGTGGTTAAGGACTAAATGCATTATAAGATATCACGTAGCTATCTGATTATTGTCTAACATGCCACGCTCGTCCTTGTTGTTGAGTCAGCTCGTTTCAAATTCACTCGTATAAAATACAAATTTTTTTCCCTTCTCTTTCTGTAACAGAAAAAAAAAGTTACGAGTCTTGCTAAAAATTTGTTTTGAAGGAAACATTGGATTTTGGATCATAGTTGGTTTTCTCTTCCTTGTTTAGTTTTTGTAACTTTTTTAAACTTTTGGTTTTGGGAGATTCAGATTGAAGAGAATGGAAGGTAGATGTGAGACAAAGTTATCTACAAATGAATTGGAAACAGTTGAATTTGAAAATTAACATGCCATTTTGATGGACATTGGATTAGGGAATTATGGGTATGTCTAATTTTTTTTGCTTTTTAATCGATCTTCTTCTTTTGCCTTAATTTCGTTAAGTTTTTATCTAATTGATATCTGATAATTTCTAGGATTCTTTTCATTGGTGTATATGATTAGGTGCTCTCATTATAGAAGGAGATGTAAGATTAGAGCACCATGTTGCAATGAGATCTTTGATTGCAGGCATTGCCATAATGAAGCTAAAGCATGGTCGGATATGTGTTATTTCTTTCATTCATTTTTTTTCTTAAGAAAAGTTATGGTATGGGTTAACATTAGCTTAGCTGATCCTGGCTTTTATGTTTTTCAAAATCTATGATCAGAATTCCCTAGAATTTAATCCACTTCAGCAACATGATAGTCCATGCTATGAAGTTGAAAAGGTTTGTCTTTTCTTTTTGGTATAGTCTATTTTTTCATGTTTACTGGAATAATTTAGATCCCACAAATGACGAGTTTTGCTCCCTTTCCCTACTTGAGGGTTTTGTCATGAAAAAATGGCTTTTTTCCTTAAAGATATGTCCGATATTTTACATGAAGGCAATCTGGAAAGAATAGCTGTAGAAATTAACAAGATAAACGTGGTCACTATGATTTTGATAATTGACATAAAAATTTTACATTACTCTATTAATATTTCTCTTTGTTTCCATTTCTAGAGCCAAAAATTAAAAAAAGAAAAAATAAGAAAATAAAATAAGACTATAAATATTATCTGGTTGTCAAATTGAATCTTGCCTTGTATGCTTCTTTTTTGCTCCTTTTTCACATCCTTTTTTGTGTGAAAAAGCAAGTGAATTTTGTGATCTGTGGTCTCGTAGATTATCCATAAACTTTAAGTTAAAGACAATAAGCACACGGATAAAACAGATTGGTAGGGACTAGATCGGTTGTCCAAATCTCCGACATCAGTTTGTTTTATCCTTAGTAATAACTAAAGTGGCTGTTATTCAGTGAATAATGTTTGTTTTTTAACATTATGTAACAAATATCTTTGCTTGTTGCCTATGGACTAATCTCAATCTCTAATAAAATTCATAAAGCATTCCAAAATTTGATTAGAAGCCCCAAAATAAATTTCCTCAGATTCTCATTTGATTTGTATAAACTCATCATTTGACAATTTTAGGTCATTTGCTCCCTATGTGACATAGAACAAGATGTGAGTCTCCCAAACATTAA